TCCTGCTGCCAGGTGCTGTTGCTTTTCTCAAGCCTTGCAAAGCTCTGCTTTAATTATTTAAAGTACTCGTATTTTGGCATGAATCTCTGCCTTTAAGCTTCTAAGTGTTTGAAGGGTCGCTAATGTGCTTGTCTTAATTAAATGTATACTTAAAAAAAATTGCAGATAACTTTTCTGAGCAAGTAGTCAAAATCTCTGCTGGTATATGCTGTGGGTGGGCCTATGTTGGAGGGGGAGCTGTACATAAAATGGTTTTGAGCGTAAGATGGAACTCTTTCTCAGTCTTTGCTCCTTCTTGAATTTTATTGTTCGTTTCTGATATGAGCTGGTTATAAAAGCTCTCCTTAAACCGTTTCAATCAAAATCTTAATAGTTATTTAGGTGTATCAACTTAATGAGGAAACATTAAACTTTGTGACTTGCTGCCTTGGAAATCTTACTTCTGAGAAGTGGTGAAGCATTTTTCCTGAGCAATGTCTGGTTTTTTTGAGGGTGGGGGATGGGTTTTTTTTGTTTGTTTGGCTACCAGCATACTCTTACGTAATTTTTCTTAAATTCTGTGCAAAGTACAAATCTCCTTTCTAACATAAACAAAAGCCCTAGCCCTTTACTCTTGCATTATACATGCTAAACTGAATGTCACTTTTATTGGTATGTGTTGTGGAGAATTTGAATTAGATTCAAACTACAGTTATTAGCTGTACATCTTTACAGTGATGGAAATAAATGCCAACTTATTTCTCTTCCTTTAGGAAACGCACATTATCCACACCTTCAAAGAAGACTTTTATGGAGAAATTCTTAGTATAGTCATAGTTGGATATATTCGACCAGAAAAAAACTTTGATTCCTTAGGTCAGTATTGCAGGTGTCCCTCAAATTAGTTGCTTATTTGTCTTACAGATGCAATTACTGTGTCTTCACTGTCTCTTTCCATGATGAGATGTTTTATCTGTTAACCTTTGAAATTTCAGTAAAGTGTTTTCATAAGCTAAAACAACAAGTTGGTTTGCTTATAAAACCCCAAAAACATACACCCACATCTTCCAGTGTATCACACTAAAAAATTTTATTGTGTTGCTTGTCTAAGGGGTAATTTAAAGTCCTGGACTTGTCATAAAAGCATTGAATCAGTCTGCTAATTTTATTTTTTAAAACATAGCTATGATAAAATTTAAGCAGTTCATGAAACACTGTTGATCTTTTGTTAAAATGTCTTTTGGAGCAAGGAGGGGGTAGTGCTTATAGTGGTGAAAAAGGCAACTCTGTCATGTTTGAGTGTGGGGAAAAAAAAAATTTTCAAAAAAATTTGAAAACCAAATAATTTTGCTTTTCAGACCTCTTGGTTATAATTTTATCCTACTCCTGTGATTGATGTCCAAGTACTCTGTGGTACACCTTATTTTCACTAGCTGTTGTCTGTTCAGAATTCAAAGCAATTTTTAAATACCTCTATTTTTATCTTTTTTTTAGAGGCGCTCATTTCAGCAATTCAGGAGGACATTGAAGAAGCCAAAAGACAGCTAGATTTACCAGAACATCTTAAGCTCAAAGAAGATAACTTCTTTCATCTGCCAGAAAGCAAAATAATGAACAACCACTGAACAAACCCATGCTGCTTTGGTTTATTTATTTTTTTTCAGTTTCTATTATTTTTTTTCATCCTCTGCCGTGGAGCTTTTATATTTGCACTGCTTTTATAGGTACTTCATTATCATATGTCTGTTTAGGTAACTGAGGTTGGAATCAACCATACAAGGGGATTTTAGTTTCCTGGTGTTAATTCATCATTAACCCAGTCATGCCAAAGGGATAGAATGCTGTTGTAGATCCTTACAGATAAATTGTGTGTGCCCTAAGATTACCAATTGTCCAGAGATCTGAGCACATGCAGAACATGACCAAAGTTAATTGTGACCACTGCTGATCCTGAGGTATGGATAGTTCACTTAAATGAAGAATGTCTTTTTTTAACATACTGAATGTTATTCTGACCTCTATTCCCAGCTTTATACATCATTCTTATATCTGGATTTTAGCTAGTAACTTAGAAAATTTTGCTACTGATGGAGTCAGAAATTTCCTGTGGTTCAGGAATCCAGTGATTAGATAACTGTAGCAGGAATAATTCTCTATAGTTCTTATTTTTTCTATGCTACATGGCTGTCATGATTGAAGCTCTTATGGAATTTATTTATTTTAAGTTTATCTGAAATGGAGGAGAGCACTGTTGCTCACTGAGTTACTGGAATCTGAGATGCAATTCATAGTTGACCGTACATGTGACAACACATGATCTGTGTAGTTTGCTTCTGATGAAGTGTTTCACTGAAATTAGGAGTTGAATGACTGCGAAAGTTGGCAGACGGAAGGCTCAGGTGCAAAAAATGCAGAAAGAGCTTGACAAGACTTCTGCTCATTGAGCCTTAAGTCAAAGGGAGGTAATAAAAGGCAGTTTTGCCTTTTATATGCTGCTGGCATTTGTCCTAGGAAAGGGTGGGGTTATTCATTACACTGGCAATAAAATGATTGACTTGAAGATTGACATTATTGCAACGCACAGAAAAATCGCATCAACTCTCTGCACCCAGTGCAGATAAAAGCCAAAGTTTTGGCTAGATAAATACAGAAATGAAAGTCTGTGGGTATCCGTGGAATAGTGTATCAACACTAGTGGCTACTGGTTATTTATTACAAGAATTTGCAGGTAGTCCTACTCTGAAATGTACGTATGGGTAAATACAGGGGTCTTTTGACGATGGCTTGTGATGTGGCTGGAACGTTTTCTGTAGACTGGTTTTGTGGATATGTCTCAACTGTAGTTCTGTGTCTGAACTGCCACATACAATTTGGAATGCACAATTTCTGTAGGGCAGTTTTAATGAGTTTTTTCCTTGTCCTATCCTATTTGAATCCTGCTTTTCACTAGGGTTTAAGAGAGTTTTAACAAGTCACCATTTGTGTCTTTGTGGCAGATGTTAGGTGTTAGTTCTACTTCATATTGTTTTAACTTTCAGCCAGTATCATAAGATATTAGGGAGGAGGTCTAGAGCAAATCAAAAACTTCTGTTTGCTCTGTAGGACTCCCAAGAGAAACTGGATTTCATTTAAATGAGTTGTTCATCAGTGCTGTTGATAGCAGAGACAGATGGAATACAAAATTGAGGCAGAGGGAGAGGCAGCTATCAACAGATATATTTTTAAAGGAGAGTAAAAAATTTAGTGGACTTCTACTATGAAACACATTGAAAACTATTTCTAAAAAGTCTGTAAAAGAGTTGTCTTGGAAGAGTGACAGCTGGACATTTTAAAATAGAGGGATAAAGGGAGAATTTTTTTTTTGCAAAGATTTGCAACTTTCTTCAGATTGTAATAAAGTCAAAATCTAATATGCTTCCTTTTAAAAAGAATAAACAAAAGCCATACTAGTTGACTGAATATATTGTCAAGAATATATTTAAAGAGTAGATCGTTGTCCATGGTTTGCCAGTAATGTCATGTCTGTTGTGGAACCCTTAGTGCCTTAAGCTCGATGTCTCAGTAATACTTTCTTTTATCTGCTAATAAACACTAGTATCGAAAATTCAGTTAACCATCTGATTATAGAACCACTGTGCTATAAACAGAGAACAGTGGCAAAGGGAAAACTTGAAAAACTGTTAGTTTGCTCTCAAATCTTAGCTGAGTTGTGATATATGGATACACTGAACTAATAAACTGCTTTTTGTGTGTTTGTCTTCAAATCAGAAAAAATGTTTTTACATTCATTTGAGCTACCTGTCCACGTGATTCAAGAGAAATTGTTATGTATCAGCTGTTAAGCTTCATACATAATTCCTAGCACGGTATAAATTTTGTGAAGGGTTATATTTTTGTATGATGTACAAGTAACTGTATTTGAGTTGATGTTGCAGCACTGTACTATTAATAAAGGAACTGTAATTGACAAAGGTATCCTTGTTGCAGGTTTTCTTAACTCTGCCAAACCTAGCAAAGTTAGTTGTCTCAGTCTTACACAAAGCTTTGTAGAGTGGCAGCCCAAATACCTAGACAGACAGAAAAGAGTAGGGAGATGGTCAGCATTCCTAGCGTGTCTGAAAGCTGGCCCTGGTCTGGGGACTTCTGTGCTTTAGTCAGAACTTAGGGCAGCTTCAGCCTCAGAATTCACAGCCTGAAACCTGAGAACTGATTTGTCTGTACGCTTTATTTCAAAGCATATTAAAACTGCTTGTTTCTGTTAGGACTCAGAAGAAATTTCTGTGGAGATCAAGTTCAGGGCAGGTAAATCTGCACTGAGGAAGGGACCTGCAGCAAAAAGAACCGACAAAAAAAAACATTTTGGTTTTTTTTTTTTTTGAGCGGGGACAAGCCCTTGCTTGTGCTGACTGTCCCTCTGGTGGGCGCAGCCAGCGCCACCCTCTGCTGAACAGGCCACGGGTGTAAGAAGCCTCTGGGAGGGTAAGTTGCTGCCCAGTGAGCACAGAGTCATCAACTAGCGCTTGTGGGTGCCAGGGGAGGCAGGAAAATCCCTGCCTAGCCTCCGTCACCTGCCCAGTTGCCCTTGTGGAACAAGTATGGGGCTCTAGAACATGAGAGCCAGGCAAAGGAAGAGGCAGATGGAGGTTAGACAGGTGGGGCTGTCTAGGGTCAGTCAGCCACATGCATTAGGACTTCTCTGTCCAAGAAGAAAAGGAGGGTAACTTGTGGGACATTCCCTTCTGAAGGGAACAGAGGGCCCTATTGCCACCCAGATCCAACCCACAGGGAGGTCTGCTGTCTCCCTAGGGCCCAGGTTAAGGATGTTATTAAGAAGGTCCCAGGTCTGGTAAAGCCCTCTGATTATTGCTCACTTCTGGTTATGCAGACTGGTAATGATGACATAGTGGAGAGATGACCAGAAGCAATCAAAAGGGACTTCAGGGCACTGGGACGGATGCTTGAAGGATCAGGTGTGCAAATCTGTATGTAAGATGTTTGTAGTTATTTCAAAGTCAATGAGGTGATTTTGGCATGATTCAGGTTGCTATCCGTTGAAATAAGTACCTCCCAGTCAGCTGTTTTATGAAAAGCATGGACATATAAAACAATATTTGTAAGTAAAAGAAGGTGGCGTCTGCCATATGAGTTGCTGTTATTTGGGTAAAGCGCTGCCTGTTCTGGCGATGGAGCCGCAGCAATACACGGTGTGCCTGTGGCTCAGCAGCACACTGTTAATGGTTTCTGCTTCTCATTTTTAAATGTCAGCGCAGTCAGTCAGTCATAAAGCCCTTAAATGCCAGTACTGCTCTTCAGCACGATCCTACCTTGTTTATTTTGCTGCAGTCAGAGCAATCTGGGCTGTCTGCCAGGTCAGAGTTACTGCAGCAGTGTGGGCAGCAGCCTCCTTCAGCATACAGTAGTGTGTTAGTTGGATACAAGAGAACAAAACCAAGAGTATTTAAAGACAAGCAATCTTGAACTCAGGAGCATTCTGCATTGTTCATGTTGTGCTCAGAAGTTCAAAATTCAGGGTATAAATCACAGGAGAAAATGCCTACAAATGGATACCTCTTGTCCTGATGCGTCCTGGACTTTGTATTCAGCTACAAAACAGTTCCAAGTTGCACATTCCACCCAATAAACTGTAGCTCCATACCTAGGATGTGCACACAAATGGTGCCTCTCCTAGAAAGGCAAATAAAACAGTATCATAACAGTAAAACTTCTCTTGAATACATACTGAGCACCCTGCCCAAAGCAAAAGGTTCTTTGTCATGACAGAGTATCATCAATGAGGAGTCTTGCAGGAGGAAGTCGAAATTAAATAAAAAATAAAGCTTGAGCCTTGTCTTGAAACTTTATGTGCCCACAAAGTATATTTCTTAGGTGTTTTGAAATTTGTGAAAAGCTGATTATGAACTGTAAGAACTGGCCTGGACTTTTGTCTTCTTCCCCGCCAAGTGATGGAACTGATTTGCCACCTGCTTTAGCTGTCCGTGCCACGCCTGCACATGGATGTTCAGAGGCATTTGAGAGGATCAAACTAGCACCACATAGTAAAGTAAAATTATGGGAAACCTTGGCCAAATACTCTCATTTGCAAAGGCAATAGGTTTTATGCCTAGTGAACAAGAAAACAATACATTTTATGCCTTTCGAACCACAATGAATGAAATTACCTTTATGTTTGAATAACAATATAATTTTTCAGGTGTGTAGGAAAATTTGTGTGTAACTGAGTGCAAACAGAACATTCTATGTGTTTGGTGTGCATCATCGTGTGGGTGGTTTTGAAAACAGGCACTGCATACAGTTCTGTGAAATATTGAAGTGAATCCTTCGTCCTACGTAATGTTAAAACATGTATGTCCGGTTCTCTGCAACTAGGCATTTTCTATCTGAAAAGAAGAAAATGGATGTGCTAGGAGTTCACATTAGCAGCACTTTAAAGTAGGTGAAGTTAGCAACCTTCTGTGACCTGGTTAACTTGCTATGTGGTTTTTCCTGATTGAGGAAGGATTTAGCTTCCCACTCCTGACTGCACTGCATCTTGGCTCCTGTATCATCATTGCAGACACATTTCAGACAACGTACAGGTTTAGCTGTTTAGAGGGACTAGTTTCTA